GGGGCGGTGGGAAGGGGGTGGGGGGCTGAGGAGGGGCGTGGGTGGGAATGGGGACCCCAGGGTGGTGGGGATGGGGACCCCAAGGATGGGGACAAAGGGACCCCAGGGGTGGGAATGGGGACCCCAGGGTGGTGGGGACGGGGACCCCAGGGATGTCCCCCTGTCCCATTACGTCCCTGTAATGTCCCCCCATGCCCCCAAATGCCCCCCATCCCATGATGTCCCCCTAATGTCCCCCTATCCCTTGATGTTCCCTCCATGTCCCCCAATGTCTCCCCGTCCCCTCCATGTCCCCATGATGTCCCCCCTTCCCCCGATGTCCCCCTATCTCCCACTGTCCCCCCGTCCCATGATGTCCCCCTAACGTCCCCCCAACCCCTCGATGTCCCCCCATCCTCCTGATGTCCCCCCACCCCCCCGCTGTCCCCGCAGTGCTGAACAGCAGCTCCCAGGAGGAAATCTCTCTGCGTGACGTCCGGGTGCTGCCCAACTTCAACGCCAGCTACCTGCCCGTCATGCCTGACGGCTCCGTGCTGCTGGTGGACGATGTCTGGTGAGGGACAGCGTCCCACTGTCACCCCACTGTCACCCCACTGTCACCCGATTATCACCGCATTGTCACCCACCACCCCCACTGGGTCAGAATCCCAATGGAGGACTGCGGTTGTGGGTTTTGGGGGGGGATTTGGGGTCGCTTTTATCACCCTGACCTCTCGGTGTCCCTTTGTCACCCTGATGTGGCGCTTGAGGACACGTCCTGTGTCACCCCACTGTCACCCCATTGTCACCCACCACCCCCATTGGGTCAGAATCCCTATAGAGGACTCCAGTTGTGGGTTTTTGGGGGGGATTTGGGGTTGCTTTTATCACCCTCACCCCCTCCTCTCAGCGTCTCTTTGTCACCCTGATGTGGCGCTTGGGGACACGTCCTGTGTCACCCCATTGTCACCCCATTGTTACCCACCACCCCCATTGGGTCAGAATTCCAATGGAGAACTGCAGTTGTGGGTTTTTGGGGGAGGATTTGGGGTCACTTTTGTCACCCTGACTCCCACCCCTCAGTGTCCCGTTGTCACCCTGATGTGGCACTTGGGGACCCGTCCCATGTCACCCCATCATCTGTCACCCCGCTGTCACCCACCACCACCCCGTTGGGTCGGAATCCCGATGCCTGACGTTGGCTGTGGGTTTTTGGGGGGGCTTTGTGCCCCCATCCCTCGCGACGTCCCCCTTTGTCCCCGCGGTGTCACCGCGTCGTCCCCGCAGCCACCACTCCGGCGAGGTCCCCGTGGGCTCCTTCTGTAGGGTGACGGGCGCCGCCCCGCCGTGTCCCTGCGCCCTCAGCGCCCTGGAGGAGCACAACTTCCTGTTCCAGCTGCAGGCGCCCGAGCGCCCGCCCGAGGACGCCAAGGAGGTGGGGGGACTGCGGGGTCATTGGGGGCATCGGGGACAGGGGGGACAGCGGGGACATTGGGGTCGGTGGAGGTCAGTGAGTCGGTGGGGACATCGCGGTTGGTGGGGACATCGGGGACATTGGGGTCAATGCGGTCGGTGGGGACATCGGGGTCACTGGGGACATCGTGGTCAGTGGGGACATTGGGGACATCGGGGACATTGGGGTCAATGCGGTCGGTGGGGACATTGGGGTCACTGGGGACATCGGGGTCACTGGGGACATTGGGGTGAGGGGGGACATTGGGGTCGGTGGGGTCAGTGGGGGTCACTGAGGACTGTGGGTCCCATGGGGTGCTGCTGTGTGAGGTTTTAGGGTGCTGCTGTGTGGATTTTTGGGGTGCTGTGGGTTTTTGGGGTGCTGTGGGGTTTTTGGGGTGCTGTGGGGTTTTGGGGTGACGGCGCTGTGCCCCGCAGGGCCTGGAGGTGCCGCTGGTGGCCGTCATCCAGTGGTCCACCCCAAAGCTGCCCTTCACCAGCAGCATCTACACCCACTACCGGTGAGCGCCCCGGACGTAGGGGTCCCCTGTGTCACGTCACGATGTCCCCATGTCGCAATATCTCCCTGCCCTCATGTTCCGGTGTTCTTTGTCCCCGCGTCCTTCTGTC